CATTCTCAGTGATGAAAAAGGAGTAATTGAGTTATGATTCTTAATGGCAAGCAAATGCCAATGTAGGTGTTGATGCTTATTGGATAACATTTGAATTTTTGAATGAAATCAAATGTCCAGATGTTCGGGGATCCCAAACAAATTCAAAAAATAGTTTTGAAAAAAAGTGTACTGATTATGTTATTTGGATTGTATAATGGTACAAGATTAATTGTTGAAGAGGTACGAAAAAATGTTAATCGTGCAATTGTGGTTTCGAGAAATTGAGACGGGAAAATGGTTTACATACCTCGAATAAATTTGGTACCACATGATCCAAGGCTACCCCCTAAAGTTTCAAAAAAGACAATTTCCAATAGTTTCCACGAGTGAAGAAAAATACATAATTAAAAATGTTTATTTTAGATGACAATAGAAACTCTTGCAACCATACCAAAAATGTTGCATACTCTGAAGTGTTTCAAAAAATTTGGATTTTACTAAGTCTTTGTGTTGTATATACTTTCAATTCTTCAAATATTATTTATTCTATTTTGATGTTGATGTATATATAGTATTAAAAATCATGTAAGAAATTTATTTTATTTAATCCACAAAAAATAATACATGAAAAAAAGAATTGAAAATTTTTTTGTTTGCACGGGTCAAAATACAGTAAATAAAATAAGTTGAAGATGCCATCTTTTCCGATAGGAAACCCATCAAGCCTTCTAAGCCGATTTCCCCTTTCTCTCGCCCCAATTCTTACGAACCGATGAAGGAAGTGGTGCCATGCGGTACTCGCTCCCGTTCAATTTTTTATATTTTACGGAGTATTGTTTGTTCCCCTTTCAGCCCGCCGAGATTTCTCTATATAAGCTAGAACCATCTAAACCCTCAAATCTAAATCGAAACTTTCTTCCCAAGTTAACCCGATGTCGAACCATAGGATGTACTCGCCTACTCAATTTCAACGATCGAGTGCCGTCCGTTACCACAACGCCGGAAATCCAAGACGCGCTGGCGAAGCAGGCGCAAATCGCGGTCGGGGCCGCGCGTCTGGCACAAATCCCGGTCGCGGAGGCGCGGCCGAAGCAAACAGAGGAGGAGGAGCAAACCGCGCACGTGGAGGCGGCGGAAACAGAGCAAGCGGAGGACGCGGCCGCGCAGGGAATCGCGGCCGCGGCGGCGGCGCCGGGAATCGGGGCGGCGGCCGCGCCGGCCATGCTAATCCTGAGGTCAGTTGATTGTAACTTTAATTTCTGAGGTCAGTGTTTGTGGTTGTGAGATATTCTTATCTTCCTTTTTCAGCCGGTTATGCTCCACAATCCAGATATTGCTATTGAGGATCAGGTTGAATCAAATTCATTACATAAAAAAAGTTAAACCTTATTTATTCCGCATGTGTTTGTGTTGAGTTACTGCAATTTTGTTTCCTTCTTCATTTCAGCTTATTCACCTGCATGTTCATGAGGGCATAGACATTCCACATCCTCCTCCTCACCAGGTTGAATGTGTTTCTCAAGTAATTGCAATTTTACCTCTTTCTAATGTTGATTGTGAGATATATTATTACTTCCTTATTTTCCTTTTATCTGTCTAAATTCGATCAGCCTATCGGGCTCATTCCTGCTGCCAATTTCAATCTGCCTATTGTTCCTGTTGTTGACCTGCAGGTTGAGCATTGTACAAATAAAAATTTACTGCAATTTTACCTCTTTCTCATGTTGATTGTGAGATATATTATTACTTCCTTTTTTTCCTTTTATCTGTCTAAATTCGATCAGCCTATTGCTCACATTAATGCTGCTGAAATCAATATGCTGCCTCCTCCTGAAATTGATGCTGTTGATGACCAGCAGGTTGAGGTTGTAATTACAAATAAAAAGTTTACCTCTTTCTAATGTTGATTGTGAGATATATTATTACTTCCTTATTTTCCTTTTATCTGTCTAAATTCGATCAGCCTATCGGGCTCATTCCTCATTCCTGCTGCCAATTTCAATCTGCCTATTGTTCCTGTTGTTGACCTGCAGGTTGAGCATTGTACAAATAAAAATTTACTGCAATTTTACCTCTTTCT